CACTTGTTCCATGATACGATTAATTATTGAGATTATTATATGATGTTGTCGTCCCTGTGAGGACTTGAGAATTGATGTTGATTATGTGTTTGTTATGAGAATTGAACTATACTTAGACTATGAGAATTGATTTACTTTTCTTGCCATCTATATCTTGATATTGTTATCCTACTAAATCAGTTTCGTTGTGGAATCCTTATCCTATGATGATTGTATATGGTTATGTCCTTGAGTTTGGGTTTGATTGATAATCGAGTCATGTCATTGTTTATCTCTCTTGAGTTGATTCTGAACTGCTCTTAATCCCGATGTTTTACTAGATTAGAGTTGATTAGGAATATATATGTATATTTCCAAGTTGGAAAACCTATTTTGAATATAAAAAGTATACTTATATAGTTTTACATATTGCATGGAGTGGGGTCACTTAGCATTTCTCGCTAATTCTTTTAAATGTGTTTCAGGCATGGAGTAGATCTGCTTTGAGAGCGCGGCAGTTGAGCTTAGTCTCTCCCTTCTAGCTAGACTTGTTATCTTTTGATTAGACAGTTAGCCTGTGAGCCTTATCCTAAAACTTGTTTTGTACTAAATAGATTGTGACGAGTTACTTCTGGTTGACTTTGTTTATTGTGTTTGAGGATTTAGACTAGCCTTAGCATTTAGGTTAGGTTTAACCTAAATGTCGCAATGCATCCCCTGTTAAACATAAGTATTGCTTCCACAGCATAATATCAGTTTTAGACTTTATTTACCCATCTTTGTTAAGTTTAAAGCTTAAAGTTATGTTTAGAATTTGGGGGTGTTACAGTTGGTATCAGAGCGTAGGTTTGAGCCTAGGATAGTATCTTTAGATTGAGACCCTAAGACATTAAGAATTGACCTTAAGAGCCTAAGCTAATCAGGATTTTGAAGTTGTGGGATTTCTAGGATTCGCGGTGAGGTTGTGCGTTTATTTGCTTGTTTAGTTTGTGCTTTAAGTATCTTGTTGCTTTTAAGTTGTGCCTGTGGCTATTGCACTCGGATGGTGTGCATCTTTCTGGTAAGTTGCTTTATTTTGGATTTATCAAGGATTTGATTATGATTAAGAGAAAGGAGCTTGGACGCAAGTAGTAAACTAGTGGTGCATGCATTTAGACAATCGGGCAATCTAAAGACAAAGACTACTCTACTCGCAGTTGGAGTCAGTTGTAGTGGTCTCCGTTCGAGTGAAGCGGCGGCATCCCTTGTGTGGTATCGTCTAACAGGTCTACGCTAACCTCCAGAGTTGAAGTTTAAGTTTCGCGCCACCGAAGTCGAATGCAAGACAAAGAAGGCGATTGGAGCCTGAATACTAAGATTCAAAGATCTCTAATCGCGAAAGGAAGGCAAGATCAAACTTTGGCGTGCTAAGAAGAAGAAGTCAACTCGCGCCAAGTGGTCGTCCTCGAACCGGCAATATAGAGATCTTCAACGATTAAAGAATCAAGAGTCAACATTGGAAAGTTTTGGAGCGCGAAGAGTTGGAATGCAAGGTCGAGGTATTCAACGTAATGGTAGTTCTAACTACCTTTGAAGAAGCAAAGAAGTAACAAGTTAGAAGTGGTGAACTCGAAAGTAATGAAGACTAAGATGATTAGAAAGGAAAAGTTTGGACCTTTAAGGTATATGGAAAGGAGAAACAACGCCATAAGTAAGTTGTCTGATCCTATGAAGTGTGAGGAGATTAAGAAGTGAACTATGAAGGAAGGACATCATATGCCCTAGTTGGTACACCTTGAAAGTGATAGCTAGCATAAAAACTTAAAGAAAGGATTTTTGTTATAAGAATGAAAGAAAAAGTAGCTAAGGGTATACTCAACAGATCGAATTGCCAAAAGACTAAGACCGACTGGAGTGAACCTAAAGGACAGGTCCAATCATTGGATGTTCTTCAGTGAAAGTAAGATTCTGTACCACGGGATTTTGGTAAGAGACCTACTGTTAACTAAGACAAGGAAGGACAAATTGGATTATAAATGATTGACTTATGAACACCGCAATATTATTAACTGCAAACGAGATTTGGTCTACTAGCATTTAACAAAGACATAAGTGGAAATTAGAGCAAAATATCATGGAGCGTCTCAAGATGTTGACCTTGGTAAATATTTTGACTTACGTCACACTTTGTTACTACTGGCGGTGTTAAGCACAAAGTGGAACTGGGGCACTGCATTTTTAACCAACTATAGATGGTTATCGAGAAAGAATCATTCAAACTGAGAAGGCCAGTTGGGAGCTTGTGCTATGGACTTACAAAGGTCCTAGGATGAGTACTAAGGATGGATCGAGTCTTGTTGCAGCAATGGTTATCGTATGAGTATATAAAGGACTCCTTACAAGGTTATGTAAGATCAAAGTGCATAAATTCACGGTGTTAAAGAAGGTATAAGTGATACATTGGTATTAAGGCCTCGATGAGTTTAAGGTAAAATAAGGAAGTAAATTTGATTCATAAAGCCACCAAGTCATATGATGACGAGAATAGATAACCAACAGAATTTCAAGAAAGAGAAAAGTGTTGAGTGTTCAAACTATTAAAGGAATAACAAGAACGGACAACAAGCTGAATTTCAAGAAAAACATGAAGTATTTGCTAAGAGTTTCGTTTACTAAGGTAATGATGAAGTTCGACAAGAAAAGCAAGTCAACTCGGAGTTCATTAGATCACAAAAGATCTTGGAAAGGATTGAAAAAGTGACTTAAGAATTGGCTTTCTTAAGCTAAATTGGACAAGAATTTGGGATGTATCGGAGAAGTAGGTTTGTGATTTATCGCGTGAGATTCCTTCTGGATTAGTGAAGATGATTGAGACCTCAACTTATGAGGGAAGTCCGATAAAGATCTTAGAGTCAGGTCGCGCCAGTATCAAGAAAGAAGATCATCAGTTCGTCAAAATATGGTGATCGAAGCGTCAAACCGAAGAAACGTCTTGAAGTTGAGAATCTTTATTCCTCTTGAAGCCGAATTCCTCTCTTTTTCCCAGTAGAACCGAATACCCCTTCTGTTGAGAAAGCCTTTTGTCTTTTCAAACCCGATTCTTGCTTCCTTCTCAACTAATCCTATGCAATGTGACAACCTTATTTCTCTAAGTTGTAGCCTTGATAACATTGATTCCCTTCCCAACCAACGTTGTCCTCAAATTTAAAACATAAACCCTTCATTCTCTTTTCCTTATTAGGCCAAACCTTTTCAAAACTGAGTATATATATTTCCCTTAAATATCTTCCTCTATTTACAATGTCCATCACTTGTAGTATAATCCTATTAGTTATAAGTTTTAAAATAGTTTTATTGGATAGACTATGCCTGTGCAACGGACAGGTTCGGGCGGTTCTGTTTTACGGACTGCCCACCCGTTCGGATTTCAGTTTTATTTATTTAAATTCAAACCGTTTAAATTTCTTAAGTACTCATTTTGAATTTAGCTTGTTCAAATTCAGTCGGTTTTAATCAAATATCGGTTTTGGTTCAGATTGAAAAAACATTAAAAAAAAAAAATTTAAACTAAACCATTAAAGATTTAACTTATTTAAGCCAACTATTCAAGGTTCAACCATACAAGTTACAACTTACAACTAAATTACAAGCTTACAATTTACAAAGCTACAAATTGCAAAATTAAAAGTCTAAAGTCCAAACTGTCAAAGTGTCAAGTGACCCAAGTGGCTAACTCCAAATTAAAAGTTACAACTTCGATCACAGATTGTAATATAATTATACAAATTCCAAATTAAAATTTCACAACAAATCAGAATTCAGGCTTTAGCAGTTCACAGCACTCAATAGTCAACTACTCAGCATTCATTCATTCATTCATTCATTCAACACTCATCCTCTATTCCTCTTCCTGCTCATATTTAAAATCATTAGTAGCCAATGAAGACAAAAGAAGTCAAATAAAGGAATTGCAGTTGTGCTAAGAGATTTTTTTTTTAAAGGCTCAGATTGGGGGCAAATTGCTACTTGAGTTTTGGCTCAGAGCAACATACCAACCCAAACTCCCCAAGTCCTTTTAATTCAGACAAATGGTGGAAGCATCATCACAGTCATAAACAAGAACTGAAGTTAGTTAAATACTGCGTAGTAATCAATATTCAGTAAAAACAATAACTAAATGGGAGGAAGGGAAAGTGATATACTAGAAATCCATTTGACAGAATGACAGATTGTGTTTCACTCATTTCTAATCCTTAGTTCCTTACCACTTACCAGAATACTAGATATCCAACAATGAGGGGGTCAAGTGCCTAACTGCCTAAGGGCAACAATATTTACAAAAATGTTACCAAGTTACTTAGCAGTTATAATAGTCTGCTTGCCTCAAAGCTCTCAACACTCAACAGTCAAGAGTCAACACATGTATAACAGTATAATGTATTAGCATTTAGAAATCAAAATAAACTTATGCTAAAAGTCTAAAACATAAATGAGAGTGTTATATAAATGTATTACAACAATTGTTGGCAGTGTTTCGACAGAACTTAGTGAAGAACCAGCTCTAGTGGACAATTATGCACAAAAATAAAAACAAGAGTTTAACAAATAACAATTTAAATTGGGACAAAAATAAATAAAAGGTATAGAAACTTAGAAAGTTAGAAAGTTAGAAAGTGTACCATTCTCAAATCTTGCAACCTCATCCAAGTTTTCCTTAACAGAGATTGGGTGATTGGGTGCCCTCAACTAATCTTGTGCGCAGACTATGGCTTTCACAATTTTAAGAGTTAAGAAACTCTTAAAGGCATCTAATACCCTACCACAAGTACTGAATGCACTCTCAGAGGCAACTGTGGATATAGGAACAATTAGCACATCGTCCCTTGACATTTTTGAGAGAATAAGAAATCTCTCACTGTTAACCTTCCACTACCTAAGCACATCAAATATAATTCAACATTTTTTTCCTCTTCCACTATATTTTCACTCTGATAAATCCGCAGTTTAGTATGTTTACTGCTTCTACCACTCTCCATTATATGTTTTTTCATCTGGCTTTTCAGTCTAGATTGAGGTTTTCCAACTGTAGTTTGAGAATGGACATGAACTGGTTCAGATTGCACAGTAGAGGATGCAAACTGCACAGAGGTGACACTTTAGGTGGCTGCACAGTCATTAAACAGCTCAACCATTGCAACTTGAACCTTTGCAAAACATGATTTGCCTTTTTCTTCACCATACAACTAGGCAAATTGATGAGGCATATACTCAATCTTAATCCTAGGATCCAAAATATTGGCATAAAATATGAAGAAGTTCATTTTTTCTGGATCTCCCCAATATTTTTTAAACTTTTGTTTCATTTGGGACCTCATTGCCTAAAAAAAAAAAAAAAAAAAAAAAAAAAAAAAAAAAAAAAAAAAAAAAAAAGATGAAAGAACACAAAAAACATAGATAGAAAATAAAAAACATGTTGAATTATTCACACATAAATCTTAGAAAAAATAATACACATACAAATCAAAACCAGTTTACCTTTTCACATCCTGTATTAGATCCAACCATATCATCCAGCATGCGACCCAAATCAGAAATCTCAGAAAAGAAAGTATTTGAAGTGACATAGAGAGAACCAGAAATTCTCACAGTCATCTCATAAAAGCCTTTCAAAAGGAGGACTAAGCTTTACACAGAAAGCCAATCCAAAAAAGTTGGAACAACATCAGATAAATCAGAAGAAAATGAGAATTCATTCTCCTCATAAGCTTAAAAAGCCCTCTAGTATAGAATGGCAGTGTTCATCATCATGTATGCGTTGTTCCATCTTGTTTGAACATCAAGCTGTAATGCACATTTGGCTTTCACCCCAATAAGATCAGCAAGATCTCTAAACTTCTTGAGTCTTGCAGGTGAATTCCTCACCATTTCACTGCATCTCTAACTTTCTTAACAGAAGGATCTACAAATCTCAACTCATCCTGCACCACTAAGTTCAATACATGGACTATGCACCTCATGTGCATGTACTGAACCCTAATATAAGAACTACCCCAAGATAACAGTTTGCTTTTGAAAAACCCCATTACTATGTCATTTGAAGAGGCATTATCAACAGTAATGGTGAATACATTTTTTATTCCCCACTCAAGCAGACAACTCTCAAGGGCTTTGGCTATATACTCCCCCCTATGAGAAGAAACTAGGGCAAAAAAAAATTATCTTTTTGTTAAGCTTCCACTGATCATCAATGAAATGTGCAGTAATGCACATGTAATTTATCCTCTAAACAAAGGTCCATGTATCAGTGGTTAAGCTAACCCTTTCGGTGCTCACCCTAAACAACTTTTTGAGGCTCAATCTCTCATCTAGGTAAATCTAGTAAATATCTCTAGAAATTATCCACCTATAAGGGATTTGTAACCTAGGACAAGCAACTAAAATAAATTTTCAAAACCCATGTCCCTCAACAATTCTAATAGCCCATATAATGATCATTTCACACAATGCCCTCCTAATAGCCTCTTGATTGAAAACCAAGTCCCCAAAACCCCCTCAGAACCCTCTGTCCAGAGGTAGAAGCAACATTGAATGTGAGAAGAGACTGCCTTGTATCCTTAGAATGAGGATTTTTTAGGCAGGCCAACATATGATTTCTCAAGGAGGAAGTTCCATGCTTTTTACTCACACAAGCAAAAAGTTTTGCACAGTACATACACTTGCCCTTAATTAACTTTCTCTCAAAATCAAGGATCTTTTCAAAGTGATCCCAAACTTTGGATCTAGACTCCACTTTTTTCTTCTTCTGTGTAGGAACAATAGGAGGAGAAGGCATAGGTTGTTAAGGATTTGTCTCAGTACCTCAGGCTTCTACTCCATGTTCCTCCTCAGTTGAGGTTGTAGGGTGTCCAGATGCACTGATGCTTTTCATCTATAAGGATGGGCACCAGTAAACAAATGTTCAAATAAAGCATGAATATACATGCATGTTACAGATTAAGGTAGATTACACATTAAAGCAGCTTAGGCTTCCACCATAAAATCCATAATGGAAGTATCAACAAACGTACAGATTTCATATTAAAGCAGAGTTCAGATTAAAGATGCTTAAGCTTCCACTATAAAATCCATACTCAATTGATAAGCAGACATACATATTACATATTTAAGCATTTACATATTAAAGGCTTTAAAGCAGTTTAGACTTTACACTTCCATCATAAAATCCATAATCAGATTTAAATTTTCAAATCATCATCTAAATGGAATTGCGCAAAATTTACGAGCTTAGAGCTCTGGGCTCATATAATCAACACTCTACAGTTCATGCTCATAAAATCCATAATTAGATTAATCAGATTTAGGCTTTCACCATTACACTGTACATATTTACATTTGACATACCAACAATCCATGTAACATAAATACACTATGTACCAATTTAAGGGTCCTATTACCATAAACATAAAACCATATATCAGGATTTTGACAAATTCATCATATATATGAAAAGCCCCAAAAATTAGGGCTTAGTGAGTCTACAAATTAGGGCTCACAAAGTCACAATTTCATCATATGTTTACAAAATAATGTCAATATGCAGAATACATCAAACTATCAAAGTATCAATTATCAAACCATTAATAATATAACACAAAAAGTCAAGAAGACAAGAACCCTAGAAAAATAGTATTAAAAACGTTTTTTGATTACTTCTTTTCTCCAATATTTTCCCGGAGAACTAGGGCTTCAACATCAAGCAATCAACACTGAAAAAGGTTGGCTTCCATAGCCCACAGTACCACCACGGCACCACCGTCCAAGGCTTCGCTGGCTTGAGCCTTCACCACTACACCACCATCCACCGACGTCTATTATGGACTTGGACAACGAACAGACTCAAGATTCAAGACTCAACACTCAACAGAGAAAAAGACTGTCGAAGGGAGTCGCCTACAGAGTAGACTAGTAGAGAGTATACTAGAGAGTCTCAGAGATGGAGACCGGAGAGAAATGGAGAACGGACAAACGGAGATTCGGAGAAGAAATGGGAGTGTCTGAGAGAGATAAAGAGTGACTGAGAGAGATAACGGAGTCGCGACTGCGCAGAGAAGAGAAGAAATGACAAACCCTAGTATGTATATATATATATATATATATATATATATATATATATATATATATATATATATATATATATATATATATATATATACACATATATATAGGACGCACATTAAACATTAAAATGGCGCACCTTAAGTACACAAACTACGCACCTTAAGCACATAAACAAAACACCTTAAGAACACAAACCACACACTTAAGGTTTTAAAATGGTTTTCCTTAAGTTTCACACAACTGATGTAACACCCCCTAAAAACAAGCTATTTAAAAGCCTTAAACATGCAGATAACTGAGCTAAACAACAAACACAGCGGAAGACTGAAAGATAACTAGATAAACATAAATCCAAAACACGGGGTGTTATGCCACGTTCACCAGAAGGATGAACGCTACGGCAACATCTGCAATGTTTACATCTAATCCATAGTCTCAAAAGTCTACAACTAAACTGGCACACAGGCCACAAAACAAGAGGGAGAAGCTACACTAGCAAGCACTAGACCGCGCACTTGTCTAGACATCACCTGAAAGAACACAATAAAACATGGGACGACGCCCGGTCAACGAATAATGCTGGTAACCCACCAATACATGTGAAATAACATACATAGATAAGATATAGGTTGTAAAGCCATTTTCAAAACGGAATACATAAGTATATAAGTACAAAACCAAGAACAATAGCCAACACAAGACTCAACACTCTCAACAAGGATACAGGAACACATCCCAAAACCACAAAGCATAACCACAACACAAAGGATAAAGACAAGACCAATGACACACATGTCTAGGCAACACATGCCCTAGTGACTACACACGTCACAAGATGAAAACTCACAACAACGGCTACACAAGCCCTCGTGACATCATCTATCACGAGTTGATATGCATTCCTTATGCCCGGTTCCAACCTTATGGCTACCCCCAACCTTGTATCTTCTTCCAACCATTACCTCCAGGACCCCTGTACAACCAAGTCCAACATTTTCCCTCCTGGGACCGTCGTCCCCCACCAACGGGACCACCAATTTCATAGTACACGAGGGTACCGTACACACACAAGGCAACACATGCCACCCAAGAATCACGTGAACCTTATACAAAGGTCACAACTCCATAAATCACGTCACGACCACCACGAAGACCGCTGCAATACCTTGGTGACTAGTGTCCCATACCACTAATCGTGCAATCTAGGTAAAGCCACACACACATCACACCACAACAAGAATCAATCAACGGATCACAATGAAGATATGAAACCATACTCAATCAAGGAATGGATCATAGTCCAACAACAACAACGATGAATAACACAAGTTATCATCAACTAATAAGAAGGTACAAACAACACACACGCTAGCATTTAAACACCGAACTAGCATGCTCATCAAACGGGTAAACCAAAGGTAGTTTCGAAGAACACACAAGACTCATCACGGTTCAATGAAACACAATGTTGAACACTTAGCACGATTCAAGACACCAAAACCTACATGGAATCCTACCATATAGTTCTAGACATACGAAACATCAAGAAGACACTCAAATAGTTCCACAAAAGAACATCGGGAAGTCCAAAGACCAAATACCGAGTCAAAAGAATCACGGGGAACAAATCCCCCAACAACCAACATAGTGTACCCACGGGTAGGCCTCTACCCGCGGTTTCGCCCGCGGGTACAGGCTGCCCGGCCAATGTATCCCGCGGGTGGGCGGCGGGATGGACGCCTACCCGCCGTTCCGCCCGCGGGTACATCCATGTACCACAATACAACACTTCGCGGATTTTCATTTCCAAACTCTAATTCAAGTCCAAAACATGTCAACCAATACAACAAAATGACTTGAATCAAAGGAAATGCCAAGCAATGGCACAAAAGAACCCTAAACACAAGCTCTAGATATGCATTTTCACAAGATCATGCATCAACACTCACATTTCATAGCAAAACATATGTAGAATCCAAGAAATATTCACATATAGGTAAGCAAAATAGGTTTTGTAGAGCATGGGTTACCTCTTGTAGACTAAAGACTTCACTTTACACCTCAACAAGCTCCTCACTAGGCTCACCCTCCAACCCCACTTCAAGAACATACCAAAAGATCATAAAGATCCTATCTTTAAGAAAAAACACCTTAGATAAAACCAAAAACACAAGATGAACTTAGATCTTACCCTCCTAGATGCCCAAATATAAGAAATGTTGAATCTTGGAAGCAACTCTTGAAGTTTTGGTAAGGCTCCAACTTGGCTTGCAAGAAAAGCTACTCACCTTTTAGAGAGAGGGTGGAGCTAGATTTTTAGAAAAGTGTAAGGAGAGAGTGAATGTGGTCTACTAGGTTAGGTTACAATACCAACAACAAGTGAAAGGTCAAGAATACACTTACTAACATAAGGAAGTGTAAGGAACAAGGGAACTCCTTACAAAGCTCAATGTACAACTTTGACTTTGGGGTTGACTAGTCAATTACTAGTCCCCAACTATTAAATTTCAGGAATTTAAGAAATTAAATTACAAATTGAAATAGGATTAATTACTTAATTAATCCCTTAATTGAATTTGGATTTCAGGGTGTCACAACTGACGCACCTTAAGCATACAAATCACGCACCTTAAGAAGGAAAACAAGACACTTTAAAGAAGGAAACCCACGCACCTTAAGTTACAACAACTACTCACCTTAAGTACACAACTCACGCACCTTAAGCACAAAACTCATCACGCATCTTAAGTTTCACCAACTACTCACATTAAGTACACAACACCCACGCACCTTAAGGACAAAACTCACTCACCTTAAGCACAAAAACCATGCACCTTAAATTTGACCTAGATGCAAAAATTACCAAATTACCACCACATTTTTTTTTTAATTTTAGTAATCCTGAACATTGATTTAATCAAAATAATGGCTCTCCTCTCATATATATATATATATATATATATATATATATATATATATGTGTGTGTGTGTGTGTGTGTGTGTGTGTGTGTGTGTGTGTGTGTGTGTAACAAACGATGTCGTATTCTATATATACATATATAAAATATATATAATTTCAGGTTTTCGGATGGTTTGGGTGGGATTTTACCTAACCCTATATGATTACCTATAAACCAGAACTGGTCGAACCAAAAGGCGGGTCGGGTTTGCTTCTCAGATTCGAATATCCACTCCGCGTATAAGGACGGGTTTCGGGTCAGGCGGGTTTTGCATATCACTAGGATAGATTCCTAAGTCCTAAATAATGATTTATTTATAATTTTAAATAATTGATAAATTATAGAAAGAAAAAAATTATGTCAAGAATAATGAGTGGAAAAAACTTTCTTCTTCTTCTTCAGCAATTATACTGTGGACAGCGATCCACAAAATTTTGTCGATAATGGTTAAAACGACAGACACTATAGTGTATCTAAACTGACACTGTCTAACGTATTATTTTTATTATATTATCAAATGAAACTACAATTGAATTGAAATGAAACTGTAGTTGTGTTGAAATGAAACTGCAGTGTATACAAAATGAAACTGAATAACATTTTCACATATTTGAGTGTATATTGTCCAGCAAAATTATATTGTAATTGTGTTAAAATAAAACTGTAATACATATTTGATGTTTGGACCATAATGCATTGTAGATCACGGTTCATAGTATAATTTGTTTTTTTTTTCTTCTTCTAAAAGATTGAATCTCAATCTTAAGACCTCACACTCAACGGAGGAAAAAAAATTTATTCTAAATACACAGTATTGAGTAATACGGATTTACGGCGTTAATGTTAACCACACAAATGTTCATGACCTGGGCTCGTGGTTGGAGTCGGTGTCAACGTGTTCCGTGAATTTCTTGGAAGGACTTGTACGGAACAGTACAATTATTCCCTTGTTTTTCTCCGTATGGTATCTTTTGAAGCTGTCATTGATTCATTGTTTGAGGCTGAATTTTAGCCTAATCACCCGCGCATTCTCCTCTATCTCTATCAAAACCTTCCGCTTTCCATGTTCCTTTGCATCACGCACAATAATTTCTTCAAATTTCTTTCTTAATGCCCTAAATTTGTTTTTTATTTTTGTTCATTGTTCTGCTGAATTTCCTTTGACTCGCCTTCGAAGTCGCCGCAGAAGGGATTGCGCAAACATTTCGTCTCTCTCCTTGTGTTTTTATGGCCAATCCATTGTTTCCATAAATTGGTCTTTCGTCTCTATTGCTGGGTAATCTTCCTTTTTCTTCATGAAGCTTTGTTTATTTCGTGAGAGGAATAAAATATAGAAAACGAAAATGGAATAGTTTTTGAGTTAGGTTTTTGGTCCCTGGTCCCTGGTCCCTGCCTTCCGATGCCGAGAACTGGGTCATTTTCTTATGGTTTACTTTTATTTTATTTTAATTTTAAATTTAAAACTTTTTCTGGGTTTTTATTTGTGAAGCAAAGGGCATGGTTAGTGATGTGTAATTGAAGAGCCAAAAAGACACTGCTTTATTTTATTTCCTCAAGATTTTTTTATTTTTTAATTTTTTTTTATGGTCAAATCGAGCAGAGTGGATTTCAACAGTTTATTCCTTTGAGTTTTCATTAAAATGAAATTTGATTGTCTATTTTCTCTTGGTTGAAGCTTTGACCCAGTGAAGCTCATTATGATATTATTATTGCAAGTCAAAGAAATTGCCTACAATGCCCTATTCACAAGCCTTTTGTGTGGTGCTTTTTGGGGTATGATGATGATGATAAATTTGTAGATCTTCTTTTGCATCAATTTTATTGAGAACCACCAGATAAAAGGTTAGAAATCTCTATTTTGATTTGATATGTTTCTAGAATGTTCTGTTTGGTTCTTTCAATAATTTCATAACAGATTGGGTCTTTGTGGGTGTTGTTTGTTTTCTTCTGTAGAAATATGGATAACAAAGCCAGTGAGGAAGGTGGAGTGATGCCCCAAAATGAGAAGCTAGATGAACTGGGGTCTAAGTTGAAGGGAACAGGGAGTTTTAGCGATAGGAACATAGCTGCAAAGAGCCCTGGAAGCATCAGTAGCAAAGATATGATTTTTCGTGCTGATAAGATTGATCTCAAAAGCTTGGATGTTCACTTGGAGAAGCACTTTAGTCGGGTTTTGTCAAGAAATCTTGAAAACCAAAACCATGTTCCCCAGGAAGACTGGGAGATTGACCCATCAAAGCTGGAGATAAGGTATCTTGTTGCTCAGGGCACCTATGGTACGGTTTATCGCGCTACTTATGATTCTAAAGATGTTGCAGGTAACAATCTTCTCCCTTTTGTTGGTTTTTATGCTGTTTTAGTTGTTGTATAGATGTGGAAGTTGGACAGATATTGGTGTGATAAGACTTGTAGTTAAAAACTTAAAATTTTTGTTTTATTTCATATAGTCCTGACAAAATTAGCTATTAGAACTTATTTGCATATTGGCTTTTATCTCAGCATCATATTGTTATATATCTTGAAACTGCTCTTAAACAATTCCCCTTTCTATTGTTAGCACTACAAATGTGGTACCAGTATAGCACTCTGAAAAGACTGAGTGAGATCCATTTCCATGATTTCAGTCATTTAGTCATATTTTTACTGGCTTAGTGGATTTTCTTGTTCTTTTATTCCCAATAAAGAGGAAAATTGAAGCACTTCTGTTGGAAGCATCCCTGTTTGGCAGTAGAAAGAATCTTTTTGATATTTACTTATTTATTATTTCAAGCTGATTAGAATGTTATTAATTAAATGTCGAATTCAGCAGAACACTCAAGATGATTTGTAACTTAAAACTAAATAAAGATTGCTGAAGTCTGAGGGCATTGAAAGTTGTTGCCAGTTGCACAGAAACTGCTGCCAATTATTCACAATGCTCATATGAGATTTTGGAAAACACTAATTGATAGATATTGGTGTGACAATTTCCTGCAAATTCAAAATTCTCATTTGAATTCTATCATGTAGTTAAATTATTGGACTGGGGAGAGGATGGCATGTCCACTGCTGCTGAAACTGCTACTCTGCGGGCATCGTTCCGGCAGGAGGTTGCTGTTTGGCACAAGCTTGACCATCCAAATGTTACGAAAGTACAGACTTGTTTGCTACTTTTCGTTTTCATGCCATGTAACTTTTGATCACAGATACCCAACAATAAGCATTCTAATGCGTAGGGTTTGGAATACTGGATCTCATTTCTGGAATTTCTATTAATAATAATTCTTGTTTGCAGTTTATTGGTGCTTCTATGGGAACTTCAAACCTCAAGATTCCTTCTAAAAACCCTTCTGAGGGATATACCACCATTCCCTCAAGGGCTTGTTGTGTTGTAGTGGAATTCCTTCCTGGTGGAACCTTGAAAAAGTTTTTGTACAAAAACAGGAAAAAGAAACTCGCATTTAAGATTGTTATTCAACTTGCTTTGGATTTGTCTAGAGGGTGGGTCTCTTGAATAGAATGCCGGATTAATGTTTGTGGCTTGAGATCTTGATTTTCCTGTCCGTCTTTTGCAGGTTGTGCTATTTGCATTCTAAGAAAATTGTACACCGTGATGTGAAAGCAGAAAACATGTTGCTAGATACTGACAGAACTTTAAAAATTGCTGATTTTGGTGTTGCTCGTGTTGAAGCGCAGAACCCCAAGGACATGACTGGTGAAACTGGCACACTTGGTTATATGGCCCCAGAGGTAATTATAATTTATGCTTCTGAAACAGTTGATTTAGGAGATAATTTTATGCCACAGATAATCAGTTCTCCTTCAATGGCATAATTTTTACTCCATCCTCTCCCTTGCTCATCCTGGGTCATTCGCTCGTGCAATTGAAATTTTCTTTGTGAAGCATGCCGTGACAAAGCTTACCTGCCCTTGTTTTTATGAACAAGCAAGCACCATATGCTATTCAGTCTCTTTTTTGCAGGACTAGAAGTATAATGCTATATGGGGCCCTCTGAATATAGTGGTTTTGCCACGTTTAGTCCTAAACTTTCAAATTGTTACCATCCGTGGTCCAAGTTTACCGCCCATGGTCCTTCAACTTTCAAATTTAACCCGTAGTGGTCCTCTTGGAATGACCATGGGTAGTTAACTTGGACCACAGATAGTATCAATTTGAAAGTTTAAGACTAAACGTGGCAAAGTCACTATACTTTGAGGACCCCAAATGGTATTAACTCTTAAGTCTCTAATATAAAATTATTCATATGCAATATATCTGGAGTCTTTAACTGCTTTTGAGACCACTGAAGAGGGGACTAGAATTTAGGGATAATGGTATTTTTCTCTAGGTTATGAATAATTACATAGATTAGGTTGGAAAATTTTTCCTCTTCATCAGTATAACGAGATACTGACCAAATACATTTCTGTAGGTTCTTGATGGCAAGCCCTATAACAGAAAGTGTGATGTGTACAGCTTTGGCATTTGCTTGTGGGAAACTTATTGCTGTGATCTTCCATATCCAGATCTCAGCTTTGCTGAGGTTTCTTCTGCAGTTGTTAGACAGGTAAATCAGATTGATTAGTTCATTTATTTCACTCACACCGTGCCCTTGTTTGCCAGATGTCTTAGTTTTCTGCTTGATATTAGGACTTCGGCTGTTACTTGTTAGGGGCCGACTGTATTTCATCTGTTTGCAAGTTCCCCTCTTTGGCTTATTTACACGGGCAAACCATCTTTTCCAACTGATTTATAATCTCTTCCATAGTGACAGAACAATCTTGTATTATAAGATAAAGAATTCAAGCCTATGTACAAAATACAAATCCTCTGCTTTTGATTTCTCAACTATGAGTCTATGACGGTCATTCTTTGGTTTTTTTTGGTCAGACCACGAGGTGTCCTAAGCAGGCCCTAACTGTAGGAGGCACCTTTAAGCCCGTACCATACTCAAACTAATCCCCGTTTGCATCGGGCCGGCCCAATTAAGGGGCAAAGTGCTGGCCATATTTGTTTTTTCATACGAGAGGGGGTTTGAACTCCCGACCCCTCTTAAGGGACGAGAGTGCACAGCCACTCACGCCAACCAAGCTGGTTACGGTCATTCTTTATTAACTTAAATGTGATTACATCTACAGTAGAAGAACAATCTCCGATCATAAGATTAATGGTGCCAACCTTTATCCACACTGCATTTGTGTTTCTTATATTGCCTTATAAACTCCAGAGCGTGAAAGATCTTAGCAATAGGGGGGAATGGGGGAGGGGGGTAACAAGGCTCACTTCACTATACCTGGAAACCAATAGTCTTGAATTTTTAAGGCATGAGGGCTAAATGCATACATGAGAAATTGTATCACTGTATTTAATGAGTACAATATTTTACTTGAATGCTCACCAGTGTTGTCTTTTGAACATTTGTTATTACATGTCTAGATTCATAGATCTATCCCTATTTTAAGTTTTTATCAAATACTCGAAGACACTTCTCTGTTTCTCCTTGTGTTCCTTCATTTCCAGTGAACAAAGTTTGTTTTACATTGTTTCTAGTAAATATTCTAGAGTAGGGATAACAAACTCGTTTTAACTGATAATCAAGGGCAATTGCTACTATTTATTCCTGGTGTATGAGTGTATCTTTGCAAAATGAAAGTGTTAAGGATTCTGCCCTGATCAAATACTGATAGCTACATTAACTTGGTTATCTGTGGAATTGGACCTGTCTAATCTTATTTGATGTTTATGTCATTTTCATTTGCTTGAATAAATTGATCAATTTCTTTTTGGATGAAGATGGAAACCCCACAACCCTTTTGAGTGTAGGTAAACCCCGCCTTGTGACCCTAGCTGGCAAAGGACTACAAGAAAGTAAACCAACCTAGGTTACCCATAACTGACCGGCTCAAACCAAGTGGGCAAGGATTCAAACTCGTGACCTTGTGGTTACAAGTGTGGATCTCTTGCCATCTTGGCTGGGGTTATCCCCACTTGATCAATTTCTTGATTGCGTTTTTAGTTATGTTACCTGAACATCCTATGTTGCCCCAGTTGTTGTGTTCTCAGAATCTCCATTTGTTGTGTTTTCAGAATCTGCGACCAGAAGTTCCCAGATGTTGCCCAAGTTCTTTAGCAAGCATCATGAAGAAGTGCTGGGATGCAAATCCCCAAAAGCGACCTGAAATGGATGAGGTAGTGAGCTTGTTAGAAGCGATTGATACAACCAAGGGAGGCGGGATGCTTCCAGAAGACCAAGCAGGTGGTTGTTTCTGCTTTCGCCCAACTCGGGGTCCTTAAAAACTTTCCTCCTATCACTTTTTACCGACCGCTCCTCCCCTTAAACCCTATATTTGTACTCTTTCATTGATTGGCTGACTTGCTTTGAGATTTCATTATGGGTGATACAAACTTATTTGAGGCACCTCAGAAAATAATTGTAGTGAAAAGTTCAAAAAGGTTTTAATGTTTGACCTTTTCATGTAGGGTAATTTAGGCTTCTTTGCATTATAGTGTCAAGTGGTATTGTCATTGGAAAACTAACATTCCACATTTTAGTCTGTTTGGTGATTCTATGTCCTTTGTAGTTTAGGTTGGATTCATGTGTATACTGTACGTTTTAAAGGTTATTGGATACTTGGTTGATTTGATCTTTCGTTATTAAGCTAGCTAACTAGCTATATAAAAATATCATCTCTTGTTTTACTTTACATCATCATTGAAGGGGAATTATTGTGTGGAGCTGTGTGATCACGGTCTAAAATATCATCGTGAATATTATGAGTAGAAATAATGTACATTATGTGTTAGAATAATATTTTTTACGTGTTTAGAATAATGAAACATTTGGGTTAACATAATGTACATTATATTTTAAAATAATGTATATTATGAATTATAAAAATGTATGTTACAGCTGGTTATGCGAACAAATAAAATTAAGTAAAACGACGTCGTTTTTGGACCGTTCATCTAATAACCATTGATCATTGAATTGGTGGGACCTTAGTGGGTAGAGAGTAGAGACTAATTTAGTGGACTGGGTATGATGATTAAGCGACCAAACTAGCGATGGTGTGAAATAAAGGGATGGGGGGGAAGGGGAGGTTGATATTTGCGATTGCAAAGAACATAATTGATTTGCACCAAAAAAAAAAAACCTGATTAATTAGTTGCAGTAGGGTTTTTGTCGTTGGGCACTGGCTGAGTAACAGGGATGGCAAGTCCTAGCAGTATAGTATTAATAGAGTTAATACCAGTCAAGGTCCCTCGAGTTTGATGGTTTTGCTATCTATAGTCCTAAACTTTCAATTTTCTCAACGTAGTACTCCGATTTTCAAAATTTGACCTTCTGCGGTCCTTCCATTATTTCTCCTGTTTGCACCGAAAAATCCAAGATTATAAGGGTAAATGATATGACGTCGGTTAAACAACCGAAGTCGTATATTTTTTAATAAAAATAAACTTATGACGTTGGCTATTTGCATATAGCCAACGTCGTAGTATTTTTTTAAAAAATATAATTAACCTACGACGTCGGCTTTTAAGTTAAAGCCGACGTCGTATTCTTTTTTTTTTTAAAAAAAAATAATTAACATACGACGTCGGCTTTTAAGTTAAAGTCGACGTCGTATGTTTTTTTAAAAAATAGTAATAACGTAAAGCCGGCGTCGTATGTTAATTAATTTTTTTTAAAAACAATACGACGTCAGATATTTAGTAAATATCCGACGTCGTATGTATATATATATATATATATATATATATATATATATATATATATATATATATATATATATATATATATATATATATATATATATATATATATATATATATTGTTTTTTTTATTAAAATTGTTTTATGGTTTCTACCCCAACTTGTATCAATTTTCAGAACCTACGCAGTTAACAATTTAACATTCAAACATCAACTAATTCATTAAACTAATTCAAGCTACTAAACATGAAACTAATATAAAGAACACAAATGCTCTGTCGGGCCGGGGTGTGGGGGCCCTTAGGGTTGGGGTTCAGCCTTTAGAAGAATATAAAGAACACAATTAATTAAACTAATTCAAACTATTAAACATAAAACTAATATAAGTAACACAATTCAACAAAACTACTAAGCATTAAGCCAATAAACATAAATTAATTTTAAGCGTTTTATTAACCCATTCATCAATAAGAAAGTTAGACCATTTGTCTCTAACTTCATCAATCTCTTGTTTGTTGTAGGCAATCTCCCTTGTCTTTCCAAAGTCTACAAAGTTCAAAAGAAATAAAAATAATAAATAAGTAAATATTTTTAAACATTTGAAGAAGAAAGATATATTATTAAATTACTTGCCTTATCCATTCCTTTGCTTAGGTTGTTGGAAACAATTTCCAACATGAATTTCATCACATAATAACCACATTCGGTGGTTCGTTTTTGTATAGCACACTACATTTGAATTACAATAAAATTAAAATAAATTAATAAAAAACAATAAGTTTGCATGTTTTACAAAGTGAATGAAGTTCTTACTGAACATATAGTCCATTTTGGTGAACGATTTTGTTTCTTTCCATTCATCATGTTTGTTGCAGTCATACACCTATTAATATAAGACATAAAATATATATAAATACTTGGCATGACTAGTTTAATAATAACTATTAATTAATTATATAAATTTGCATACGTTTCCATTATATGTTTAATGTCTTCACGTGTCCCATGACCGAGTGAATCAAACCAAAGAATTTCATTTAGTCGAGGACAAATCGCCATCAACATCAAATGCTCACTACAAATACATAATTTATTAGTTTTAACTGAATATAATATATAATAAAAATATATTATAATAAGTACTTTTATTTAAAACGTAATTAATACTTACTTGAGGACATATGGGGCTAAGTATACAAATTTCTTCCCAGACTGCATGGTAAACAGAGGGGCCCGTCAGGTAGGTCGGCGTCGGTGAACGTGATGGGCTCCCTCTTTGGTTTTTTCTCGTGGGGTGTTCGTGTGACCTCCCCCACGTACAAGCTTCTCGTCCACCTCTTCTGCTCGGTTGGTGAGTCCCCTCCCTCTGGCCCCCCAAAGATGACGTAAATGACACGTTTCTTCGGGGGTTGGGAGTCCTCCGTTGTCTTCTCCTCCTCCTCGAAGCTGTGGTCGTGGTCCCTCTTCCGGGGTGCCGAGGTGGATGGCGCCTGGCCTCCCCCCTTCCTCCATACATTGCCTTGCTTCTGGCCCTGCGCCTGGCCTTGCACCTGGCCGGGCTTCTTAATGAATTGGCCGAGGTAACCCATTTGGATGAGCTCCTCGATTTGTCTCTTTAGGAGGATGCATTCGTCTGTGTCGTGCCCCTTCTGCCGGTGGAACCTGCAATACTTGTTGGGGTCCCCCCTCGCCGATATCTTCATGCACTCCTCCTTTGGGAATACCACGATTCCCTGGTCCTCCGCGTGCGCCAAGATGGTACCCACAGGTTGTGTTAGCGGGGTGAGATAGCGTGTGGGGTTTAGCCTGGGCCCCTCCGCGTACTAACGTCGGTGCGGTCGTGGCGCCTTGCGCTCCTCCTGGGGTGCCTTGTCTTTTCGACCTCTTCCTTCCTCCTGCTCCTTCTTCCTCTTCTCGGCAGCCTCGGCGTCAGCGTACCTTGCTGCCTTGTCCATCAGGTCGGTATAAGTCCTGGGGGGGGTACCTGATGAGGTCCTGGTGGAATGCGGCCGACCTCAAGTTGTTTCGGAAAATCACCATGGCCGACTTCCCATCAAAGTTGGTGACCCCCATGGCCTCTTTCTTCCACTTGCTGAGGTACTCGGCTAATGATTCCGAGCTCCCTTGCTTCAAATCACACAGGTCGGCAATTTGCTTCTTCCGCTGTATGCTGGTGGCGAAATGGGATAGGAACTGCCGGGTGAGGTCCGCAAAGGTGGAGATGGACCCCACCGGGAGGGATCCGAACCAATCATGCGCCTGCCCGTCCAGGGTGGCGAAGAACCCCCTGCATAGGATGGCGTCCGTCGCCTCGGTGATCATCATGGCGGCCCTGTACCTGGTGAGGTGTGCCCGCGGGTCCGTGGTCCCCGAGTACGCTTTAATAGTGGGAAAGCAAAAATCTCGAGGTAAGGGCTCCTCCATGATGGCGTTTGCGAACGGGGAGGACAGCACATCCTGGGGCTCGGGAAACCCGTCCCTCTCGTCGATCTTCTTCTGGAGCTCGTCCATCCTCCTCCTCAGCTGCTCGACCTCTCCTCGATGGGAGCTCGGAGCTCTACCATTCGTTTCACCCGATCGTTCGACCCGGGAGGCCTATTCACGCCGAGGTGGGCTTGGGTCCCCCGACCTGGTGACCTCCGCGAGCCTGCCTCTCGTCGCGGCTGGGCTCGGGGTCCATGGCTTGGCGACCTCCGGGTAACTGATTGTCGTCGTGCCTGCCTGCGGGAGCAGGATTCTGCTGGTGGAGGCTCATTAGCGGCAAGCCTTAGGCCCAACCTCTCTCGGGCTGGCACCCGGCTGCCCAGCCTCTCCATAGCGGGCCTGGTTTGGTTTGACCTCCTTCCGTCGGTCACGTCGTGCGTCCCCTCCTCCCCGTGTGTCGGTCCGGCAGGGTGAATTGACCTCCCCCTGGGTGACAGGTGCTTGGGGTGGTCGGGTGCTTGGACTGCTGCGCCCCCGGGTAGGGGGAGGTGGAGGAGATGTCGGCAGCCCTTGGTTGACGCCTGGGTCAGCAGGCATACGCACTCGGAGGTCCGCCACGACTCGGGCCAGCCCTGTGGAGGCTTGCTCGAAGACCGCCATCCCCACCCGGATGAGGTCTAGGTCCTGAACAGGGGGGCGGGCGGTACAGCTCCACCACTGCGGGGGTTGGTGAGCTGGGCCCTCAGATCTCCCTCCGACCTGGTGGTGGCGGCCGGTTGGATGTCGGGGGCGGGGCCCCGTTGGGGCCGTTCCCGTTCGCGACGAGCTGGGTGTCGCGGGAACCGTTGGTGCGGCGAGAGTTGTATCTCGATCTTGCCATAGTAGCTGGTCGCGATAGACCACTGGATATAGAACACGCTTGAGCTGGTACAACAACTCTCAATGAAAGCACCAATGATGGATTTAATTACCCGGGGTGGACCCGAATCACTAAATCCGGATAAGAATATGAATAATAAATAAACAGATAACACGATGTCGTAAAGGCCGTGAGACCGTATATTATATTAAATACCGTAGAATTGGCTATTACAATAGTATTTCAGGACAAAGTACGCAAGTAGAATAGATCGTGTCTTAATGAGACAAGGTGGGGGGTTTTTATACAACCCCCACCCCTAACCGCCACCCCTTAAGGCGGGGGTGGTTGGAATCGTGTTGACCGCTGCGGGGGCCAGGCCGAGCCAATCATGGGCTCGGACCGGGCCCAAGTGGAGGTCGGCCCGACCTCTTGGGGAAGCCGGTCCGACCTCCAACGTGGCCCGTGCAGGGGCCACGTGGCGAGGCCTCGGCCGGGGCGGGTACGTGGCGCCGTCCCGGGACCCATTCTTGCTTCGCGCCCTCGGGTTGGTTCGGGTCGATTCCCAATATATCCATCAGTGACATTTATATACGATTTGTTGTCCTCCATATTATTCATTTGTGGTTGAATCCAATATGGATCTAGGAAGCCATACATGTCTTTTGATGCCAACTCAAAACTAATGTAAATACCCCTATTCACAAACACAATCAATTATATATAGATTAGAAATTATATAAATATAAAAATATTATGAATAAATAATACTAAAGAACTTATTACCTCATAAAAAACTAAACTAGAGAAACATCGATGGTTTCCATTTTTAGGAAACGTATTATCTCATCACTTGCAAGGTACAAGTCATAGTCAATGTTGCCCATAATACCACGAGCCACATGGACCACAAGATGGTGTTCAAAACGGCGAGCTATTGAAAAGGCCTTTTTGCATCCATCAGTCAAAGAATCTAGATCAGCTATAGTGAATTCTTGATGTACGGATTGCACACCCGGTTGAAAAGTCAATTTGGTCTTTTCTTTTGACTGTGAATTATAATACAAGTAAGAATTATTATTTTAAAAAAGTAAATTACTTACTATTTTAAAATATAAATATTTCAGTGTACATACCGCATTAGCTTCAATACATAACTCTACCAGCTTCTTTGGCCAAGCAATAAAGTGTTGAATTGCATTACCTACAAGCTGAACCTCACTGGTGGGGATTGGTACATGTGCACTTAGATCACTAACTTCATTTACGCGCACGTTCACATGATTTATATCCAGTACAACCCGATGAACCTGTCCACCACTGTAAGCTATCCCATATGCCATTGGCCCTCTAATTGGATCTTCTAAGAACAATTGACATCGTGTCCCTAACAGCATTAATTTTTAATTAAGATTCATATAAAATTTTATTGAAAAGTAATAATAAGATTAACTATAAACGAATACTTACAGCCAGTAAATTACTAAAAGGGGCCGGGGAACTAGCCTTGTCACTTCGAGATGGTAACTCAGCATCCACACATACGTCATTCACCTGCTTTGATTGTACAGATTGGTGAACAGGAGCCTGTAGAGAACTAAATTGTAGCATTATCTGAGCCATGCGTGCCTCAAATTGCTCAGTTAATCGTTGACTCAATTCCTCCTGCTGAGCAATATTTTTCTAATTTTGTTTTTCTAGCGCTAGTGCAACAACAGCATCAAGACGTGCATCAACAGCGGCATCAACCAATCGTTGAACATCTTCAGGATTCTTTTGGCGACGTTTTGTATGGCCAAATACACTTTTGATGCCATGTCCTCTTCCCAAGGCTCTAACTTCTCTTCCATCCTCAACAAATTCTCCTTGAGAAATTTGCAACTTAAGAGCATCCTAACATATATAAAAATTATTCAATAATAATTACTATTACTTTAGTAAATGACAACATATTTACTTACAATTTTTCCCGTCACCAATCTAGTTGATTCAGTGCGATAATTTTCTGACTTGTCAATTCTTGCTTTCTTCCACTTTTCGGCTCTACGTGGAGGACTTGGAGGACTCATTGTATACGACGGATCTGCATCAACACATGCTTGTTTTTCTTTCAACTTCTCATCCATCATCATCTTCTCCAACCTTTTATAACCTCATCGAGCTAAAAGATGTGGATGAATATTCTTAGCTTGTATGTCTTGATATTTTTTTCCTTTTGCCTATATGAACACAAATTATTAATCAAACTCTTTTCATGTCCCTTGTTCGAAATATTGATAGAATAATAATGATACCTCATATTCTGGACCTGTATGCGACTTTACAAACTCATCCCATGTCTCTTGTTCAATGAAGTCGTATTTTTTACAAGGGTTACAAATGGCTTATCTTTTCCATTGTTTTTAGTAATTGGGTTCTAAGGCAATTTATAAGTCATCTCATAATTATTTAGCACAAATTAGGTAAAACTAAAATTTATAAGTCATCTCATAAAAAAAATTGTCAAATTCTTTAACTCAATCTTTCTTCACCTAAATAACTAAACTACTACTCCCTCCATCTCATTTATATATAACAATTTTTAAAAATTAAAAATATATAAACAATATTTCATAAAATTCCACATATACACACAACAATTCATAATTTACCCAATAACTTATAAAATTAAAAATATATACACAATTATTCCTAAAATTTCGAAATACACACAATAATAATTTATAAAATTCAAAACATATAAAAACTAATTAATATATATATATATATATATATATATATATATATTACGTACCTTCCGGCGAGCGGCGTCGAGCTGTGGCGGCGAGACACGAGCGGCGGAGAGCAGTGCGGAGATAAGTGGCGGCGGTGTTGACAGTTGCTACTGCCGTTCGACGACACGACGGTGGCGTGACGGGCGGCGGCTGGCGACGATACGGCGGTGGCGTGGAGGTGTGTCGGTGTAGAGGTGTGGAGGTGTCGAGGTGTGGCGATGAAGATGAAGTTTTTTTTTTTTTTTTTTGAATTGCATTCGGCAGCTTCTGATTAGGTTTGTAGCGTATTTAATAAATATACGACGTCGGCTATATATTTAGCCGACGTCGCGGCGTCGGCTAATTAATTAAATGAAGCCGTATCTTATTTTAATACTGAATTTTTTTTAATTAAATAGCATACGATGTCGACTAATTAATTAGCCGACGTCGTATGCTATTTAAATTTCAATTTTTTTATTTAACTAATTTACGACGTCGGTCATTTACATCGGCCGACGTCATAACTATTTTACTTTTTTTTTTTTTATTTCGATTATATATGACGTCGGTTATAGCAAATAACCGACGTCATATGCATTTTTTAAAAAATAAAAAATGATTTTAAATATTTAACGTCGGATCTTCTAAAAACTGACATTAAAATGGTGACGCCGTAATGTATTTCTGTAGTAGTCGTGTTCAGAACTCGCTGAAATGACATTTTTTTAATACTATTGACTCTGTTACAATTTGGGGTGACCACGACGGTTCGAACCGTAACCGTCACTGTTGTAACCGTCACCGAATCGGAACCGTCCGTACGGTTCCTGTTTCGTTTCCTAACCGGAACCAATATGGTTCCGGTTAAGGTTCGAAACTGTGAAAAAAAAAAAGTTAAGTGGTCACGGCTTAAGAGATTCAAACTTTAATTCTTTTTGAAGAATTGAAGTTTGAATCTTTCAAAAAGGAATTATAAATTTGTTATACATGGAGCTAAAGCCTGAAGGAGGGGTATTTAACTATTTATAGAGTTGGAAATAGATTATAAATAATATTTTTACAAGATAAGCATAACTAAGTAAGTTAGATAGATTGGCTTGTTACTTCTACATAGCATTCAATTGTGTCTATAGCTTAGTGAGTAAGACTCTTGCTTTCTAAGGTTCAAACTTTATCTTGGACATCCAATTAATTTATTTTGTTGGAGTATAATTGTGCGCAACAAAGCATATAAATTTTAAAAAAAAAAAAAAAACGGTTAGAACCGGAACCTTATATTAAGGTTCCGGTTTGTGATTTCGTGGAACCGTGAACCACTGGTTCGGAACCGAAACTGAACCGTAGTCACCTCTAGTTACAATGTAGTATCTGCTTTATACTTTCTCAATCTATTGCATGCCAAAGAGTCCGGGGTTGTTTTATACTTTCTCAATCTATTGCTGCCCAAAGAGTCAAGACCCAACCACCGGGGTTCGATCTTGTGACCTTCCCTCAAGGGGGGCCATAGAGGTGCCACTGCTGAAAGTTAATTTATGATATTATAATTTAGGAATAAGGATTAAATAGTCCACACAACTACACACCAAAATGCAATTAGGTCATCGAACTAAAAAAGAATGCAATTTGGTCACTGAACAACGTAAACTTGTGCAATTGAACCCAAAATGACCTATTTACCTGGAAAGACGGTTTCCAATTTTAAAAATATTTTTATAAATAATTTAAATAAAAAAATTAATTAAAAAAAAACTCCTTCGTCTCCGGCGGAGATGAAGGGGCGGCTTCATCTTGGGCCGTCTCCGCCTGAGATGAAGAATTCCTTTAGTTGAATTGTAAACACCTCTAATGAGTGAGAAAATTGGATTAGAGATTAATTGCAGTTAAAAAAGGGAACATGTACGCGCGCGTGCATACACACACACACACACATATTGTGATCATATGAGAACCAACAACTTTCTCATGTGTCCATGAGAATTATTCATTCATTAAAAAAATAGATATATGCATATGATTAATGTGCATATTCATTATGATGTGTGCATATTAGACATTATGATGTGTGCATATTAAGCATGTGTTATGTACAACATAGGGACATGCTTAATATACAAACATGATAATGCCTAATATGCGCACACGCGTCTTTTATCTCTCAATTAATCCCATCCATAGATCTATTTCTCAAATGGATGGGATTGGTTCTCATTGACTCATCCCACACACACGTGCGCACACACACACGCACACACACACGCGCACACACACACATTGGATCAAATGAGAACAAGTCATTAAAAAAGAAATAAGAACCAATCTCATGCTTACATTTAGAAAAATCGGACGAATCAGATAAAACTTTTTTAAAAAAAACACGGTGACATGTTTGTAATTATCACCAACTTTAGTCTTTTCCAAGTTTGCACATTTAATATTAACATTTTGCATATTAAGTATTAAAAATTGCCGTTGCAAAAATACGAAAGTGCACTACATTTAGAGTTTCAATTTTAGAGTTTATGACGGGGTTTTTGGTTTTATTTGGAATTTGATCTAGTGGTTCACTTTTTACTTCTTAAGGTCTTGCATTTACGGTTTAGATTTAAATTTTAGTTTTTTATTTTATTTTATAAAATTTATCAGGTTTGTATATTTAGTTGTTAAAAATTGCATTTGTTAGTATTTTTATGTTCAAAAACCCCATATTATAATTGGCAATATTATTATGGCATACTAAGATAGGTTTAGAATCTGTCGGTTGGGTCTACAGTTTACTGATCAAGCAGAAGCAACGACAGAAGAACTGACACTGAAGATCTGATTTAGGGAAGCTGTTTCCTTAAGAGTCTTACGCGGTATTATCAGCTCAGTATGGAAAGACGATCAGCGTATCTTCAAAGAAGGTAATGGACCTAATCTGTTGAGATTACATTCCTCTTTTATTGTCCTACCTTCTACAATCAAAGATCTTTTATGGAGAGTGTTTATAGAAGGATCTATAATTACCAGTTCTAAAAGGTAACTGGGGTTACGCCAAATAAGAAGAAGAAACACTCCATATCAGCTTTAAGAGTCTAGATCTTTGATTGTTATGCACCTTCTCAATACAACTTGTTCATGGTGATTAAGATGATGAACTTGAGAAGAGTTACTACTGCTTAAACGAAAGGACACTAAGATCACACTGTTGTGGGAACAACATTATAGAGCGTCACTGAAGTGGACTGCATCAGAGCTGGCTCTCCAAGTGAAGGGACTTCATTGGACTTCTGTATGCATGGCTCTCCATCTTCAACAATCCACTAAACCTGTGTAGACTGGGTATGTACCTTGTGTGGGGCACTTGGGTAAGATTATTGTATATCTACCTTTGTACATTGGATTATGACTTAGTGGATTGGACGCCTATGTGATCGTCCCCCAGACGTAGATACACACTGTATCGAACTGGGTAAACATTGTGAGTGTTCGTTCTGTGTGTTTGTTTATTTTTCTCTGATGTTCGCTTCGTGATCTATCATTACTAAGTAGGTGCTTAACTAAATCTATCAGTATTCTAAGTCAGCAAACTATTTCTGATAATTTTCGTAAAACGAAGAAATGCAAAATTACATGTGGTATCAGAGCTTTTAAGTCTACATAGTGACTTGGTCCGAAGGGCTATCTTATTTTTGCATTCTCTCTGTTTTTGTGGAAGTCTGTCTGTGTGTTCGTTGGCTGGTTGTTGATTTCAGGATGGACGCAAGTATGAAACCACCAGAACTAGATGGTCACAACTACTCTTTCTGGAAGGCTCGTATGGAGATATATCTTCAAGCACAAGGAACCAGGGTTTATCGCACCATCCTAACTGGGTGGAGTCGACCTACTACTCCGAATGCACAAGGAGTTGCTGAAGAAAAACCCATAGAGACCTGGACAGAAGATGAAATGAATGCCTCTGATCTGAACAACAAAGCACTAAACTCAATTGTTGGATCGCTACATGAATATGTTTTTACGCTTGTTACAGGGGTAAAAGAGGCTAAACGGGTATGGGAGATTCTTGAAACCAGATATGAAGGAACCAGTGATGTCAAACAGTCAAAGTTGCAAATGGTTCTATCAGAATTCGAAGCTCTCAGAATGACTGAAGACGAAACCATTTCTACCTTCCACAGTAGGGTTCAGAACTTGATGAACCGAGCCTCAATTCTTGGGGAACCATTCACTGATGAGAGAGTGGTCAAAAAGATTCTCAGATCCCTACCTAAACGTTTTCGAATGAAAGTAACGGCTATTCAGGAACACACAGGTTGGGAAAAGAAGACTGTCGGAGAACTCATGGGAAGCTTGCACACATATGAATTGGAAGTTCTTGCTGATGATGATGTTGGAAGCAACAAGAAAGGAAAGTCTGTAGCTGATCGAGAATCTGACACAGACGACATAGATGATGAAACCCTAGCTCTCCTAACCAAAAACTTCAAGAAAATCTTAAAAGGGTTCAACAGAAAGGGTCAAGGTCAGTCTACAAGAACACAATACAAAGGCAACAACCCTTCATATCAAAAGGTTGAAACAGCACCCCTCTCACAGAATAATCAATCTCAGACTGGGCGATCGAGACAAAACAGAAATAGTACTACAGACACAGGAAAACCCCTCAATCGGTCAGTGCAGTGTAGGGAATGTGAAGGATACGGTCACATACAGGCTGAATGTGCAACATATCTTAAAAGGAAAAAGTCTATGTCTGTAGCTACTCTTAGTGATGATGAGGAGGAAAATTCAAATAATCAATCAGATGATAATGTAGGAAACTTTGTAGCGTTCTTCACTGCCACAAACATTCAATCAGACGGAGATCAATCAGATGGAGAATCATACATATCAACAGATGATTTTGAAGAAAGACATATTCAACTTGAGGCAGAATTTGCAAAACTTGTCGCTAGCTGGGAACAACTTGTGAAAGTAAATAAGAATCTGAATGACGATGTAAAGCAAAAAGATGATCTTATAAAGAAACTGAATGCTGAATTGGTCATAAAAGAAGATCTCATCACTCAGATACGGTCCAGAGAAGGAAAATTAATCAAGGAGTTGGAGAGCTTGAAGAAAAATATACAGATGATGGACACCACATCTACCTTAGATAAAATTCTAGACTCTGGCAGAAACCCTAATAATAAAAAGGGTCTGGGATTTGAGCAAGGAGAATCTTCGAACAACGCACCAAAGTTCATCAAAGAGGGAATGTCTAAGACCACAACATATCACAGGTATGAACAAGGACAGTCATCTCAGTCAATACAAATCAAGGAAGGGAGATACGGTACGAACACTGACCAGGACAAATCAACTTATAAATCTCATTATTCGAGATTCAAAAATAAGATTGTCAAAGTTAAATATTATACTCCCATTTGTCACTACTGTCACACAAAAGGTCATACTCGTCCCGAATGCTATTTTTTCTACAGAGATCAAAGGAAGGAAAAATATCAGAATAAGACTATTACACTATTCACTAGACAGGTTTGGGTCAGAAAGTCAGAAGTTATCTGTTATCCCACCATTGTTCTAACTGCATCTACAACTGATGCTAGATGGTATTTCGACAGTGGTTGTTCCAGACATATGACAGGAAACATTAAATGTCTGATGGCTGTTCAACCTAGTAGTGGAGCTGTAACTTTTGGAGATGGACAAAAGGGTAAAATCGTTGGGAAAGGAGTCCTAAATGTTCCAGGTTTACCTCAGTTAGAAGAAGTCTTGTTAGTCAGTGGATTAAAAGCGAATCTTATTAGCATCAGTCAGTTATGTGATCAAAATTGGAATGTATGCTTCGATCGTAACTGCTGCAGAGTGAGTGACAAAGCAAATCAACTTGTCATGGAAGGAACTCGGTCTTCAGACAACTGTTATGTTTTGACAAATGAAACTGCTTGTCACCTATCCAAATCTGATGAATCAAAACTCTGGCATAGACGACTAGGTCACATAAATTTCAGAGATATGGATAAGTTGATAAAACTTGAAGCAGTAAAAGGTGTACCGAAGATCAGAATTGATCCAGAGAAAATTTGTGGCGCATGTGCTATTGGGAAACAAATCAGAACTCCACACAAAGCAGTAAGAGGTATCACCACTGAGAAATGTCTAGATCTTGTCCATATAGATCTCATGGGGCCAACACAGACTGAAAGCATTGGAGGAAAGAAATATATATTTGTGTGTGTAGACTATTTCTCCCGATACAGTGGGTTTACTTTCTGAGAGAAAAGACAGAAGCCTTCAAGGCCTTAAAGACTCTGTGCATAAGAGTTCAGAAGGAAAAAGATGAGTCTATTATAAAAGTTCAGAGATTGAGGAGTGATCATGGAAAGGAATTTGAGAACTCACTATATTCAGACTTCTGCTCTGAGCATGGTATCTCACATGAGTTCTCAGCTCCTAGAACTGCTCAACAGAATGGAGTGGTGGAAAGAAAGAACCGAACGCTACAGGAAATGGCTAGAGTTATGCTACATGCCTCACATATGCCACAACGTTTCTGGGCTGAAGCAGTACACACAGCATGTCATACTATAAATAGGGTCTACCTTAGACCAGGGACGACGAAAACTCCATATGAGATCTGGAAGGGAAAGAAGCCAAATCTGAAATACTTTCATGTGTTTGGGACAAAGTGCTATGTGCTGGCTGACAGAGAACAAAGAGGGAAGTTTGAACCCAAAAGTGATGAAAGCATCTTTCTTGGATACTCTCCGAACAGTCGTGCATACAGAGTCTACAACAAGAGGACTCAGTCTGTGATGGAGTCAGTAAATGTGGTTGTCGATGACAATCCAGAAGAACCAGTGAACTCAACAGTGATAGAGTCACCTCTACGTGATTCAGATGCAAGTTATAACAACAGTCAGCTCAAACCACAAGATTCATCAGATGAAGATCAAGAAAGTTCGGAACAAGAGATAGATCTCATGAATGATGTTGTTAAAGACAAACCTACCAGAACTCAGAAAAACCATCCATCAGATAACATTATAGGAGATCTGTCAGATGGAATGAAAACCAGAAGCAGAATAAGAAATAATCTGACAGAAATATCTGGGTCTTACTGCTATACCTCAAAGATAGAACCAAAAAATGTCAAAGAAGCTCTACAGGATGATCTGTGGATCAATGCAATGAAGGAGGAGCTACATCAGTTTGAGCGGAATCATGTCTGGAATCTTATACCAAGACCTGATGGTGTTAACGTAATAGGAACGAAGTGGATCTTTAAAAATAAAACTAATGAAGCAGGGAATATAGCCAGAAACAAAGCTCGGTTGGTGGCTCAAGGTTATGCACAGATTGAAGGGGTTGACTATGACGAGACATTTGCTCCTGTAGCTAGACTTGAGTAAATTAGAATCTTGCTGGCTGTCGCTTGCATTTTGGGATTTACATTATAGCAGATGGATGTCAAGACAGCGTTTCTGAATGGGTATCTCCATGAAGATATCTATGTGGCTCAACCTAAAGGTTTTGAAGATCCAGAACGTCCTTCGTATGTCTATAAGCTTCGAAAAGCTCTCTATGGTCTTAAACAAGCTCCACGGGCCTGGTATGAACGTCTGACACAGTATTTGCTCTAGCACGGATATAAACGCGGAAGTGTTGACAAAACACTGTTTGTCAAATCGACAGGAAGTCATGTAACCATCGCTCAAATCTATGTTGATGACATTGTGTTTGGATCAACCTTGCAGAAATACACTGATGAATTAGTACAAGTCATGGGGGAAGAGTTTGAAATGTCCATGGTTGGTAAACTGACGTATTTCCTAGGTCTACAAGTCAAGCAAAGTTCTGAAGGATACTTTATTTCACAAGAAAAGTATGCTAAGAATCTTGTCAAAAAAATTGATCTGGAATCATGTAAACCATCCAGAACACCGATCTCCACTTCTACAAAAGTATCGAAAGATGAAACTGGTATATCAGTGGATAACACAGTCTATCGTAGCTTGATAGGCAGTCTGTTGTATCTAACAGCCAGTCGACCAGACATAATGTTCAGTGTTGGAATCTGTGTAAGGTATCAATCTGACCCAAAGGAATCACATCTGATAGCAGCAAAACGCATTCCGAAATACGTGAAAGGAACGATACAGTATGGACTCTGGTATTCCAAGGATAGTGAACTGAATCTGGTTGCATATTGTGATGCTGATTGGGCAGGGAATGTTGATGATCGGAAAAGTACTTCTGGAGGATGCTTCTTTGTTGGGAAGAACTTAGTATCCTGGTTAAGTAAGAAACAGAACTCTATCTCACTAAGCACTGCAGAGGCAGAATACATAGCCGCAGGTGGTTGCTGTACTCAGTTGGTTTGGATGAAACAGATGTTTTTGGATTATGGTCTTACACAAGGAACAATGACACTTTTTTGTGACAATGTCAGTGCTATTAACATCTCCAAGAATCCTGTTCAACATTCCAGAACGAAGCATATTGACATCTGGCATCACTACATCAGAGACCTGGTTGAATCCAAGGAAGTTGAGTTGGAATACATTCAGACTGACAAACAACTGACGGACATTCTGACTAAGCCATTGGATGCTAATTGTTTTGAAATTCTTAGATCTGCTCTGGGAATTTGCAGAATTGACTGACTAAAGCAGTAGGTCCGTCAAAGAGGAGTTGGTTTAATACGGGTCAGTGTTATGACTTTGAATTTCCTTAAAGACTCTTCTCTTTTTATGTTAAGAAGATCTTCTAAGCTTAGTCTTCTCAAAAGATATCTGAAAAGATCTCTATGCTTTTTGAATTTCAAATTCCCTTGGGTTTCGTTTCCTTCCTAAAAAGGAGTTGTACCGTTGTGTCCATCAATCACTTCTGCATGATATTTTGACTTGCCGCATTTATTAGGGTTTATCACCCTTAAGACTATATGATACCGGGTCAAGAAGAAAGAAATCACCTCAGCTCCCATCTCTCCACTTCCCGTGCTTAACTGCTATCGGTGTTCTATTCTTCTCCTCGCACTTAATCTTAAATGGCGGACCCCGTAAGAAACATCATCATTAAGCTTGGAAGCAAGGTACATCTTCCGGCGGCAGCCCTCAAACACATTCAGACGCTTCTACAGTTGGCTATGAAGAAGAAGCTCAAGCTTGATCCTCTGCTTCGCGACGAGATTCTGGTGACTGTTATGACCAACTATCCAGAATTTTATGCTGAATGGTCGGCAGATGATGTAACTGAACTTCTTGTATTGGTCGCCGAAGCCAGTGATGACGTCTCTCCAGTGTTTATTCCAAAACCCTTCGATGGAAATTGGGCAGGGGCATTCCTTCAATTTTTTGCTCAACGTGCCCTACAATCTGTTGAAGAAGCTCGACGTCGAGAGGAGTCCCAAGCTCTGTATCTTGAAGCTGCTCAGAGAGAAGCAACACACAGACAGGAGATTCTTCGACAACGGGTAAATGATTCTGAAACTCCTATTGAAATTTCTCCTGATAGACCTGTTGATTCTTCTATTCCATCGTCTGTGTCTGTTTTGCCTGAAAATCTATCTGCTTTGGGTTCCGAGAAGTCCCCTGTGAATGGCAATCTTCTATCTTTGCCTGTGACTAATGTTGATGATGAAAAATCTGATGCGTTGCGTGTGTCTGATGAGAAAACAAAGTCTTCTGATGAGCCAAATCCACTAAGTCTGGTTGTTTACGCTTCTAAGAATATTGCTCTGCCTCCGTCTGAAACTGATAATGTCTCTAAAGAGTCTTGTCCTACTGTTGATCCTCCTGCCTTACCTACAACTGTTAAACCTGTTGATTTATCAAGTCCCCACAAGTCTGAAAAAACAGGTGGCGTTCCTGTTTACACTGCAACATCTTTAGGAGAAAGCCTGGAACATGTGCGACATTTTGCTGGATTACCATCTGCTTCAATCCCTCAACCTTATCGAGTGATACACCCTTCCGAATCCTCCAGTGAAGATGATAAGATACTGGCTGAGGTATATGGATCCCAAGCACCTTCTTCTGCTGCCCCTACTGTTGAGGGAACTGCTCATCCTGATTCCACGAATTTCCGAATTTGAGAGATATCAAATATTGTTGGGAGCTCATCTGCAAATGTTTTTGAGTCTAGCCACTCGGTCACTCCTGTTCAGTCCCCATCCAGAGAAACAAGACGGACAAAAAGGAAGAATGTTCCAACAAAGGTTGTTGTTGAAACCAGTGCTGATAATGTAGATGTGGATCAGCCTGTGAAAAAGAGAAAGTCGAGTGAGATTGCTAAGCCTGAAGGAGACCCACCTATCCACCAAGTTTTCAAGACTCTACGTTCCTCTGTTAAGCAACAAGGAACTACTGCTGCTCAAGCTACTTCTGCACCAGCCCCCTCTGCTAGAAAAGGGAAACCTACTACAAGGTCAAGAGGTCGAAGTGTAACTCCGGAGGTTCCACCTATTGAAGGAATTGATTCTACTGTTTACAAACCTCAGTTTGTATCAACTGCTGCACAAACAAAATGGGCCACTATGGTCAGAAGGGAGCTGATTGTTCAAAGAACTGTGGATAAGAATCAACTGAACTCCGTTTGTGATATTCTGCCCTTGCTGAATGAAGTTGGTCTTTTGAAAACTGTTACAGATGTTTTCCCTTACTCCAAGCTGCTCACATATGAGTTCTATTGCAATCTCAGTGATGAGATTGACAGTCTCATAGGGCCACGACCGATGCAAATCCTCATCAGAGGGAAGTGGTATGATTTTGGGCCAGATGTAATAAATAAATACTATGGCTTGCCTACAGTGCAAGAAGAAGCTGTTACTGAATGGGACGTGGTGGCCAAAACTCTTACCGGTGGACATACTACATCCTGGCCTACAGGAGATAAGGACTATTTGCTGAGCTCGCATCTCACGTCTAGATATGTCATCCTACATCGCCTGGCTCTGCACAACTGGCTTCCATCAGCTCATTTCAACACAGTTGGCAAGCTTCTGGCAGGGTTCCTATTTAGAATTGGAACTAAGATGCAGTGTGATCTGGGCAAATGGATTTTTTATCATGTTCTAACTCTGATTCATCCCCGGGAACAGAAGGTAAGACTACCGTTTCCAAATCTGATTTTTGGCATCCTTACCTCTCAGGGTCTTAAGGCTATGCCCAGCGAAGTGATCAGTCCGACGCTGCTGTATACTGTTGATAAACATCTTCTCTCTGGAGATCATATTAAGGATGTTGTTCCTGTGACTGCCCCATCCAATTCGGAACCTGATGCTGTGAATGATGAGTCTCCTCATGCTAAAGATGAGAAGCTTTCCGAACAATTGAAGGCACGAGTTGCTGATCTTGAGACGGTGCACGGCATCATTGCCAAGCAACTGACTGGTGCGCGCACTGAGCTAGCTACTGTTCTTCTCCGCATGAGCTTGTCTGATACTGCTGCTGCTGCTGAGGATCCTGTGAAGTCTGACTGTGGCTCTCCCTCAAATGCTTAATCTTTGGCTACCATTGGCAAAAAGGGGGAGTAGTAAACTCAGTTTTTTTTTTTGTGATCGAGTACCTTCTGGCCCTGGCTGGGTGTGACTGTTTTGATATTGTTTGTTTTTTGTTTTTAGACTACTTTGGATCTTATGTTCGTTTTATCCTATGTAATCTTTTTGGACACTTGGGTTGCTTCCTTTAATAACCTATCTTAGTTCTTTTTAAATAGTTGAGTTGTTTTGCCAAATAATAGCCAAAGGGGGAGTTTGTTAGTGTTTTTATGTTCAAAAACCCCATATTATAATTGGCAATATTATTATGGCATACTAAGATAGGTTTAGAGTCTGTCGGTTGGGTCTACAGTTTACTGATCAAGCAGAAGCAACGACAGAAGAACTGACACTGAAGATCTGATTTAGGGAAGCTGTTTCCTTAAGAGTCTTACGCGGTATTATCAGCTCAGTATGGAAAGACGATCAGCGTATCTTCAAAGAAGGTAATGAACCTAATCTGCTGAGATTACATTCCTCTTTTATTGTCCTACCTTCTACAATCAAAGATCTTTTATGGAGAGTGTTTATAGAAGGATCTATAAGTACCAGTTCTAAAAGGTAACTGGGGTTACGCCAAATAAGAAGAAGAAACATTCTATATCAGCTTTAAGATGCTAGATCTTTGATTGTTATGCACCTTCTCAATACAACTTCTTCATGGTGATTAAGATTATGAACTTGAGAAGAGTTACTGCTGCTTAAACGAAAGGACACTAAGATCACACTGTTGTGGGAACAACATTATAGAGCGTCACTGAAGTGGACTGCATCAGAGCTGGCTCTCCAAGTGAAGGGACTTCATTGGACTTCTGTATGCATGGCTCTCCATCTTCAACAATCTACTAAACCTGTGTAGACTGGGTATGTACCTTGTGTGGGGCACTTGGGTAAGATTATTGTATATCTACCTTTGTACATTGGATTATGACTTAGTGGATTGGACGCCTATGTGATCGTCCCCCAGACGTAGATACACACTGTATCGAACTGGGTAAACATTGTGAGTGTTCGTTCTGTGTGTTTGTTTATTTTTCTCTGATGTTCGCTCCGTGATCTATCATTACTAAGTAGGTGCTTAACTGAATCTATCAGTATTCTAAGTCAGCAAACTATTTCTGATAATTTTCGTAAAACGAGGAAATGCAAAATTACAGCATTTTTTTTTGTTGAGAAGAAGAACTTAATTCATTGAATCGGATAAAAGACAGTCAACAAGAAAATGAGGAGGATTATCAAACCACTCCCCGCAACCTGACATAGAAACGGCTTCCCGAACAACAATGTGGGCAGCACGATTCGCAGATCGCTTAACAAAACAGAAGTCTACACCATTTATCGTGGATGCAACTTCCTTAACATCATCAATAATAAAACCAAAAGCAGAATTAAAAGAGTCTAAAGATAAAGCATAATACACTAACTAGGAATCTGTCTCAATGTCTACCTCTCCCATTCCCGTATCTTTCAACCAGCTAAGAGCTTCACGGATGCACACTGCCTCGACCTCTTTTACAATGTAATTCTCAGGAATGCACAACCCTTTTGTAGCCAAGATACCACCCTCGTCATCACGCAAGATCCAGCCTAACCCCATAACATTATTTTCAGCATCTAATGCAACGTATGTTTTCAGCTTCATACGCCCATGAGCCGACGATTTCCACTTCATTAGCCTATTACTCACATCAGTGTTCACCTTCATTTTTTCATTAGCTGCCCTCTAGTTCAACAAATAAGAGAGTGAAGCGTGTACAACATTATTGCATGCAAAAGGTACCCATTTCCAAGCTTTTTTGTTCCTACTCCACAAACCCCAACAAAGCATCACAAACTGATAATTACGAAAATACCATCGTATTTTTATTTTTAAATTTGATCAGATGTAAGGTTGAGATTGATTCTTATTTTTCTCCTATAGTACTGTTCTCACAGGATTCTTATTCTTATTTTTCTCCTATATAAAATTAGGTTCAAATGAGAAGCTCTATTAACATGTAAACCAGTGTACCATTATGCATTGTTGATCTTACTTGGCTCTGGTTTAGGTGAGAACCATTTCTTGTGTGTGAACCTGTGAACTCATATGCACTATTGAGATTAGGGGTGTGCAACGGTCGGGTTTGGATGGCTCGGGTTCACAGACGGTCACCCCGAGCGGATATCGGAGCAAGTATTCGAGGTCATATCCGTTTTTTTTTTACTCAAAACCGTCAGATATATGGTCGAATTAATCCGACGGATACGTGTTTAAACCGCCGGATAATTCGATTTTGTAATAAACAATTGTTACTGCAAAAATAATAAATTTATTTAATTAAAATAACTGATTTTACAATTTTTAGAATACATAATCTATTACAAATTTACATTCATACAAAATTAAATAAATTCAAACTTCAAAATTAAACTTAAACACTTATAAGTTAACTACTTAAGCAGTTAGACTTAGAAGTTACACACTTTACACTTCAGGCCATTGAGCTATTTAGCATTAGAACTCAGAATTAAAAAACATACAAACTTACAAACTTAAATTGAAATTTACACTTCAAACTTCAAAACATACAAACACACATACTTAGAATTTACAGACTACAGTTCAAAGTGCAAACATATTTACATTTCAGAGTTAGAATCCAGACATCAGTACAAGCTCCAAGCCACCAAGTCTCCAACAACCATTCACTCCAATCCAATCAGTAGTTCAACACTACTCCACAAAAGAATACCACTATACATTGAAATATCCTAATATTCTATTCCTCTTCCTGATAAGTGATAACATTAAACTTTGATAAGGTTTAAAATATTTAAAGTTTAAACAATTGAACATGATAATTGATAAAGAGTGCTCAGATTGCTATTTTTCTAGATCAAGTAAGGATTGGGGGAAAATTGCTCAATGAGTATGGCATAAACACCACACCACATAGGCAACATACAAAACTCAATTCTATATACTCAGATAACATGGTGGAAGCATCATCATTGCACAAGCTAGACAGTTAGTAACTGAATAAAAGAGATAGGGACAGAAGTGAAGTAATATACATTACCAATCACCATTCAATGATAAAGGGGCCAAAGACAAAAATCACTACTGATACCTGAGCTCAATGGCACCAACATTTAAAATTTTACCAAGCCATTGAGCACTTTCCACTTTCTAGTTCCTAGCCAAGGAATTAGGGACTAAGGAACATTGATACACATACAATGATATAGACATAGTCATCATTCATCAAATATCAAAATAAATAAACAAATGCTTTATGGTTTAATTAGAAATTCAGAATGAATATATAAGTATATAACCATACATGTATGGTAGGTAGTGAAGATCCAACTCTAGTGTCAGATGTGCTACACAACTCTGCAAAAAAAGAAAAAAAAGACCCACAGTTGTAAGTTAAAAACTTAAAATAAAACAGGTAATAGTTATTAGTTTGCAAGTTAAAAATAAAACAGGTAAGTTAAAGTATTTACCTTTTTCAATCCTTTTCACATCATCAATATTTTTTTCTACGGAGATAGGTTGATTGGCTAACATCAGCCAATCCAGTGTAGTGCCCAACAATTTTAGGAGTTAGGGAACTCCTAAAGGCATCTAGTACCCTGCCATTGGTATTGAATGTTGTTTCTGATGCAACAGTTGAGATTGGAACAACAAGTATATCCCTTGCCATTTTAGATAACACAGGAACCTATCAGAATTCAGCTTCCACCATCTGAGAAGGTCAAAAGAATCCTCCACATCCACAATAACCTCAAACAAATACACTTCCAACTCTGTTTTTTCCTAGATAAATCCCACTCTCCAATCTTTGTTTCTTAATATAAGATTTCAATAATGATTGAGGTCTCCCAACAGAAACAGAATCAGATAATGTAATAGAGGTAGCAGATTTGTCAGATTTTTCAGGAACAGATTGGACAGGAAAAGTGGCAACATAATCTTGAAACAACTCCTTAAGACCAACAATAACCTTATCAAACATTGATTTAACATTTTCCTCACCATATAACTTGTTAAACTGAATGGGCATATATTCTATTTTGTCCCTGTGGTCTAAGATATTTGCATAGAATATCAAAAAATTAATTTTTTTCAGACTCACCCCAATACTTATCAAACTTTTCCCTCATATTTGTACCCATCAATTTTACACGGCCATTAGCTTCCACCATATTTGTAAACAAGCAAGACAGATCAGAAACCTCAAAGAAAAATGTATTAGAAGTCACATACAGTGAACAAGAAATCCTATCAGTCATTTCATAAAAAGATTTCAGAATCTTAACCAAAGAAGCAATGGATTCCCAATCCATGAAGTGATGTATATTTTCACCCAAATCAAATTTAAATGAACTGTCATGATCTTCATAGGCTTCAAATACCTTCTGAAATAACAATGTAGTATGAAACGTCATATATGTGGAGTTCAACATTGTAGGAACATCAAGACATAGAGAATTCCTAGCTTCTACCTCAATTAGATCAGCTAGATCTCAAAACTTTTGTAACATAGCAGATGAGCTCCTCACATACCTAACAGCATCCCAGACTTTCTTAATAGCACTGTCACATTCTTTCAACCCATCCTGTTCCACCAAGTTAAGGATGTGAGCAATGCACCTCATGTGCAAATACTTACACCTAAAAGTAGTACAACCCCAAGACACCAACTTCTTCTTCAAGAATCCTAGGGCAGTATCATTGCTAGAAGCATTATCAACTGTCACACTAAAAACTAATTTTAGACCCCTGTCCAAAAGGAAACTTTCTAAAGCCTATGCAATACTTTCCCCCTTATGGGAATAGATAAGAACAAATGAAATGATTTTCTTTTGGAGATTCCACTCACTATCAATGAAATGTGCAGTTATGCACATGTAGTTTATTCTCTGGACTGAGGTCTAAGTATCAATTGTTAATTGTAATATTAACCCTCTGACTGCTA